CGAGGGGAGGAGTAGCCCATGGACCGGGTCACGGAGCTGCTGGTTCCAGATGGATTCTTCCACAGGTTTGCACTCGGAGGGAATCGATCGATGCTCCTTGATCTGTCAGGCAGGAGGAGATGGAGATGGAAAACTCAATCTGCAGCTCACAGCGGCAAATCAAAGGGACTCATTAGCTCTTCGGACTATCAGTGGCTCCCATCAGCTGATCCAATCAGACCCAGTTCTGTAAGGACAGGAACTGAAGCTAGGAGCACGGCGGCAGAGAGGAAATGACTCCGGTCCTTAATTACTGAAAGTTATGGGACCTAAAAGCATAAAGGTGTGTCTGTATGGGTGCAGATACACACCAGAGCACGGGCTGGTCAGGAGGAACGACCTGTGACCTTTGCTAGATAAAAGCTGCATGTGTTCATTTAACTGGCTGACGGCTGTCGGTGTAAAGCTCCGTGTGGATGCTTTAGTTAGAAATGTTGCAGCAGTAAGTGATCAGAGTGGGACCGACACAAGATGGAGGAAAAAACACACAAGCTGCAGCATATCAGCTGGACTCAGACAGACGAGACAGTCCAGTCAGAATCCTCCTGTTACCCATCACACACACACACACACACACACGCACACACAAACACACATGCGCGCGCACACACACACACACACATGTATTTTTATGCTTGTGTGGACGCTCCATTGACTTCCATTCATTTTTTTGTATGTTTATGACTGTTTTATGCCTAACCCTGACCCTGACCCTAACCCTGACCTAAACAAAAGTTAATCCACACCATATCTCTAAAACCACGTTTTAGGGTATTTTGTCATTGTGTGGACCAGCAGATGACCCCACAGTGTGAAAATGTACTCACACTACAGGTCAAAGGTTAAAATGTGTCCACATAAATCTAGAAATACACGCTGGTTTCCAGGTCAGGGTTCTGGTTTAAAGATGCATCTTCTTACATCTCAGCTCTTACACCGATGCGCTGTTTTCATGTGACGTGAAAAACTTGTTTTTTTACCCAAAAGCTGCTGAAGGATTTTTGAAGTTTCATGATTTTGTTATAAAAACTTAAAAAATCTGTTTGAAGCGACGCTGGGGCTGAAGAACCAACTGGTTCCACAGGAACCAGAGCACGTGCTTCACTGGTTTGGTGCACATCAGAAGATGACCAATTTAATCCGGTCTAAATCGGGTCTGGGTCTGAACCAGCTGTGGCTGTCAGGTGTGTTCACATGCTGACCCATGAGACCCTTACAGGTAACTCTGCGAAGTGCGAACCGCCAAACACTTCCGGTTTAACCAGCATGGTCAAGCATTTCCACACCCCAGATGCGCGTATTAATTCAATATTAAATATAAAGTTAGTCCTTTTGTTTTCGGGGCTAAAGTCAGCAAAGCTAACTCACCTTATGTCATCCTCCGGTACATGACGCTTTGAGGACGGCGGAGATGCGCCTGCGCAGCTATTTGGATTGAAATAATTTCCATCACAACATTTAACAATTTTAAATGAATAGTTAAATAATTTACGTTAAAAAAGTAAACAACATTAATTATTTCATGAAGATAATCATTTAAAAAGAAACCAACTGTTGTGTTTGTGTGTAGGCGCTCTGCGGCCACTCGCTACAGGGTCCTCATTGAGTAGCATCTCGGAGGGAGCGGTGTTGTTAGCAACATCATGGCTGCTTCCACACGCTCTCAGGCGATTTCTTTATACAGGACGATGCTGAGGGAGAGCAAGAAGTTTCCTTCATACAACTACAGGTAAGCGGAGCACGTGAACGGTGCCGCTGGCCGGTTAAAACCGGCGGTGACGTGATTAAACGGCAGCTAACGGCTGTGTTTACCTGAACCTCCTGGGAGAATCGGCATCATGAGTTTCTGAACGCTGAGCAGACATTTACAGGAAACCAGCTGATTTACACAGACTTGGCGCCTCTTCAGAGCTCTGTTCGGTCATAGCTGGTCTTTTAGGAAGACTTGCCCTGGCATGTGACTAAAGCTGGGTGCTGTTATTACCGATCTAAACATTTAATAACTTAAAATCCGCCCAGATTAGCTTCATTAACTCTGGACCCACTGAATTCTCTCTAATAATTCAGATTACCATTAAAACTGTCACTGACGTCACCTCTTGTTACATGACTGTTTACATGACTAATAATCACAAAACCTCTATCATGTTGGAAGGAAGGTGACAGTCGGCTGCTGGGTTAAAGCCAAAGAGGGATGTACTCACTGTTTACTATCTGTGGGCACGTGTGGTGGCAGTGTGTGCGAGCTAACGCTGTAGCGCCGACATTTGTAATTAACCAGAGTAACCCAGTCAGCAGTTATTATTTGTACTCTTAAGAAGCTAGACATCTTTTTGTTTTACTCAAACATCGAGTGAAGGAGGCTAGAGGCTAATGTTGCGCTAACTGGGGTTGTATGAACTAGTCGACTTCACTGCTCTGTAGTGACTTGTTATGCCTGTCATAGACTAGTCGCTGTCACGTGATAATGACGACAAGATGCAGCCCTTGGAAATGTCAGCAGGTGACGAGCCCCTGCACGTCGGGAGGCGACATGCTGTGCCAGAGCGTCGGTACTGACACCCGCCGTAAAACGGACATTTAACCAGTTTGTGACCTTTACCCTCTTGCAATTTAACCTTCCCCTCACCCCCATCCTAACCTTAACCAACTTGTGCATGCAAAGCTCTGATTGTTGACGCGCTCCAGACATCTGCGTCCTGAGCACGGCCACAGTAACATTATCAAATCAGATGTCGCCACCTCAAAAACGCCACCTCAAAAACGGCTCATGTCCTTTTATGTTTTCTGTCTTTTATTCTTTTATTTGTGCCTGATGCGTTTCGCTGCTGTGGATCGGGGCGCATCACCTGTTTTGTCCTCGGTGACGCACCGATCACTGATGCAGCCGGCGAGCACTCCGCTGTTTTTGTTGTCAGTAGATCTTTTAGAACTGCAGTTCAAAGGTAACTCATGAGGTGAATATATATGAACCCAGGTAGCAGTTTCTCTTTAGGATTGAGAGGAGATGCAGGAAGATAATAAACAGGCAGGACAGAAAATGAAATCATTATTTTAATGTTTAGAGCAGCAGGAACTCTGAGAGGCTGCAGGCGCATCAGTGAGTTTGCGGCCGCTGCGCAGGGGGAGGGGGGAGAGGGCTAAAGCAGGGAGAGGGGGGAGAGGGCTAAAGCAGGGGGAGGGGGAAGTGGGCTGAAGCAGGGGGAGGGGGAGAGGGCTGAAGCAGGGAGAGGGGGAAGTGGGTTGAAGCAGGGGGAGTGGGGAGAGGGCTGAAGCAGGGAGAGGGGGAAGTGGGTTGAAGCAGGGGGAGTGGGGAGAGGGCTGAAGCAGGGAGAGGGGGAAGTGGGCTGAAGCAGGGGGAGGGGGAGAGGGCTGAAGCAGGGGGAGGGGGAGAGGGCTGAAGCAGGGAGAGGGGGAAGTGGGTTGAAGCAGGGGGAGTGGGGAGAGGGCTGAAGCAGGGAGAGGGGGAAGTGGGCTGAAGCAGGGGGAGGGGGAGAGGGCTGAAGCAGGGGGAGGGGGAGAGGGCTGAAGCAGGGGGAGGGGGAGAGGGCTGAAGCAGGGAGAGGGGGAAGTGGGCTGAAGCAGGGGGAGTGGGGAGAGGGCTGAAGCAGGGAGAGGGGGAAGTGGGCTGAAGCAGGGGGAGGGGGAGAGGGCTGAAGCAGGGGGAGGGGGAGAGGGCTGAAGCAGGGGGAGGGGGAGAGGGCTGAAGCAGGGAGAGGGGGAAGTGGGTTGAAGCAGGGGGAGTGGGGAGAGGGCTGAAGCAGGGAGAGGGGGAAGTGGGCTGAAGCAGGGGGAGGGGGAGAGGGCTGAAGCAGGGGGAGGGGGAGAGGGCTGAAGCAGGGGGAGGGGGAGAGGGCTGAAGCAGGGAGAGGGGGAGAGGGCTGAAGCAGGGAGAGGGGGAAGTGGGCTGAAGCAGGGGGAGGGGGAAGTGGGCTGAAGCAGGGGGAGTGGGGAGAGGGCTGAAGCAGGGAGAGGGGGAAGTGGGTTGAAGCAGGGGGAGTGGGGAGAGGGCTGAAGCAGGGAGAGGGGGAAGTGGGCTGAAGCAGGGGGAGGGGGAGAGGGCTGAAGCAGGGGGAGGGGGAGAGGGCTGAAGCAGGGAGAGGGGGAAGTGGGCTGAAGCAGGGGGAGGGGGAGAGGGCTGAAGCAGGGAGAGGGGGAAGTGGGTTGAAGCAGGGGGAGTGGGGAGAGGGCTGAAGCAGGGAGAGGGGGAAGTGGGTTGAAGCAGGGGGAGTGGGGAGAGGGCTGAAGCAGGGGGAGGGGGAGAGGGCTGAAGCAGGGAGAGGGGGAAGTGGGCTGAAGCAGGGGGAGGGGGAGAGGGCTGAAGCAGGGAGAGGGGGAAGTGGGTTGAAGCAGGGGGAGTGGGGAGAGGGCTGAAGCAGGGAGAGGGGGAAGTGGGTTGAAGCAGGGGGAGTGGGGAGAGGGCTGAAGCAGGGGGAGGGGGGAGAGGGCTAAAGCAGGGAGAGGGGGGAGAGGGCTGAAGCAGGGGGAGGGGGAAGTGGGCTGAAGCAGGGGGAGGGGGAAGTGGGTTGAAGCAGGGGGAGTGGGGAGAGGGCTGAAGCAGGGAGAGGGGGAAGTGGGTTGAAGCAGGGGGAGTGGGGAGAGGGCTGAAGCAGGGAGAGGGGGAAGTGGGTTGAAGCAGGGGGAGTGGGGAGAGGGCTGAAGCAGGGGGAGGGGGAGAGGGCTGAAGCAGGGGGAGGGGGAGAGGGCTGAAGCAGGGGGAGGGGGAGAGGGCTGAAGCAGGGAGAGGGGGAAGTGGGCTGAAGCAGGGGGGGGGGGAGAGGGCTGAAGCAGGGGGAGGGGGAGAGGGCTGAAGCAGGGGGAGGGGGAGAGGGCTGAAGCAGGGGGAGGGGGAAGTGGGTTGAAGCAGGGGGAGTGGGGAGAGGGCTGAAGCAGGGAGAGGGGGAAGTGGGTTGAAGCAGGGGGAGTGGGGAGAGGGCTGAAGCAGGGAGAGGGGGAAGTGGGTTGAAGCAGGGGGAGTGGGGAGAGGGCTGAAGCAGGGGGAGGGGGAGAGGGCTGAAGCAGGGGGAGGGGGAGAGGGCTGAAGCAGGGGGAGGGGGAGAGGGCTGAAGCAGGGAGAGGGGGAAGTGGGCTGAAGCAGGGGGGGGGGGGAGAGGGCTGAAGCAGGGGGAGGGGGAGAGGGCTGAAGCAGGGGGAGGGGGGAGAGGGCTGAAGCGGAGCAGTATAGATGCAGAAACTATCGTTGTTAAGAGATGTTTACCTTAGAAAATGTGGGCACAATTTTAATTGTCAAAAACTCCAGTGAATCCAAAATTAGTTTAAAAATTTCTCCAGAGAGAGGTTTTGTGACAAAATGTTGTACCAAATGCACAAACAATGGTGAAATGGCTCCAAAAGTAAAGCAGAAAACCGCCCAGATGGATAAAAATGTCCCTGATGACATCTGAGGGTTCAAAGTAAAGGTTTTCCCTTTTGGGAATGCTGTTTTACGAACGCTGGAACGGTCATATCAGTTATGTGAGGCACATCACCACTCTGCCCGTTCTCTCTTCCTCTTTACATTTGCAGCTGCTGCTCGTTAAACACTGCATTGCAACTTTGGGTCTTAAAGGTTGAATTTTACAATCCTCAGCAGGCCTTTCAGTTAAACGCCTGTACATTTATAATGATTCCTTTTATTTATTGTTGCACACGAGTGGGGTCAAGTGAAACGTTTTATTAATATTTAGCATTGTTGGTGCTGAATGAACATTTTCATGGTTTTGTAGCTGATTTTAGTGAGGTTAGTGCGCATCGGAGCCATAAACGCTAATGATGGTCTTGGTTTCCTCATTTTTGGCTTCGGCCAAGTGTGTGTGTGTGTGTGTGTGTGTGTGTGTGTGTGTGTGTGTGTGTGTGTGTGTGTGTGTGTGTGTGTGTGTGTGTGTGTGTGTGTGTGTGTGTGTGTGTGTGTGTGCGTGTGTGTGTGTGGTGGCGGCAGACATCTCTTGAGTTATTTCTGAAATTTCCTCTGAACATCGGAGCTGTGACTCACTGTTTGTGTTCAGCTGACGGGTTAGAGGGCTCGTTTGTTTCGACTGCTGACCCGGTTGGTCCTGGGGTGACCCGGTTGGTCCTGGGGCATCGGGTCAAGTGTTCTGGTTCTCTGGCTTTGACTGGATCTGTATTCATGCCATCAGTCATACTGGATTAATATGGATCTCAGTCCTCTAACCGGTTCTGACCCGACTCCAGCAGTACCAGCTGCATCTAGTACTGTTGTCTTTGCCGTGGTTCAGGTTCGGGTTTTCGTGCAGACAAACATCAAAGCTAATTTTATGATGTTTTCCCTGTCTACTCGTTAAAACCAGTAACCATGACAACTCTGGGAGGACTCCAGAGGAAACGAACCCGTTCAGAACCAGTTCTTAATTTGTTCTGATAACATTTGAATAAAATCGTTGACGTAGTGGATGAATCCACGGAAACCGAACCGCTTCTGCTGCTTCCTGTTTGTGGATAATTGGACTCTTTGTGAGGCAGGGACGGAGACCTTTGGGTCTATAGACGGGTTCTGCTCCAGTTTCTGGGTCTGGGTCCAGTTGGTGGAAGCAGACGTGTCTGTTGCTGCTGGGGGGGGCTTCACAGCGCTGCGTCTGGGCATCAGAGAGCCGGCTCGCCTTCATGTGGGCCGCCGCTGTGTTGAATTATTGAGCATCCAGAGGAGACTCACCCCAGAGCCAGCAGCTGGTGCTGCCCGGGCCCGGGTCTGGGTTCTGGCAGATTAACAGA